GACCATAACCCCAAGAGCCAAGAACAATCATTGCAAGGCATTTATGTTTAACTATCACCACGCCTCCCCCAACCCCTTGCCGTTCCCGTGAAATATCCCAAACAATAATAACAACAACATCTCACTGTTGTGGCCAGTCACTTCAAAGACACAGTCATTGCCAATCTTTACATTCTATTGCAGATTTTTACATTTGGCCTTAAGCCATTTCAAGAAGCTTTGAACGCCAAGTCGTTTCAGTTTTCATTGATTGTATGTGTGTGAGTGTGCCTTTGACTGTCTATCTGGCTGTCTGTCCTATCTTGTCCATTTCTTGTGTTTAGCGGAAGCGTAAAGCGTGTAAATGATGGTTTAATTAAATCACTTTTATATTTTGCTTATTGGCTTTCAGGCCCAACTCTTGCCTCACATCTCATTGAAAGCGTCTTTTAAACACATTCCTTTACGTCATTGGCCAGCCAGCCAGTCAGATAGGCAGCAACATCAATTCCAATATTATCATCATTATTCTTCTTCTTATTATCGGCAGCAGCCATAACCATCACATCATGATTATAATACATTTGTAATGAGCTGTCATTTGTCTATGCGTGGTATTTGCTGGTGGAAAAAGGACGCATAAAAATTAAAAATAAATAACCGTGATAAAGGGTGGCCTAGAGGGGGTGTGATGGGAAATTCAAATTGGCAGATCTATGGATTTTTCTATAGAAAAAAATTCAGCAGTTCACGGAGGAAACAGATAATACTTTTTTCAAGACCTATATAAGGTGTAGATTTTTTAAATAATTTGTTTAAGGCCTATATAAGGCGGATTTTTTAAATATTTTTTTTTTCAACGCCTATATAATTCCTAGATTTTTTATATTTTTTTTCAAGACCTTTACAAGGCGTAGATTTATAATAGCATTTTTTCGAGGCCTATATAAAGCGTAGACTTAAAAAAATCAAAGCCTATATAAGGTGTTGCTCTTTTAATAGATATTTTAAGACCTATGCAGGGCGTAGATTTATAATAGAATTTTTTTCGAGGCCTATATAAAGCGTAGATTTTTTAGATAATTTTTTAAGGTCTGTTCAAGGCGTAGATTTAAAAAAAATTCAAGGCCTATAAAAGGCGTAGATTTAAAAAAAAATGAAGGTCTATACAAGGCGTAGATTTAAAAAAGAATCAAGGCCTATACAAGGCGTAGATTTTAAAAATTAATTTTTGAATGCCTATACAACGCGTAGATTTTTTAAAACATTTTTTTTTGAAATAATTTTTTAAATGCCTATACAACGGGTAGATTTTTTAAAACATTTTTTTTTCAAAATAATTTTTTGAAGGCCTATACAACGCGTAGATTTTTTAAAACTTTTTTTTCAAAATAATTTTTTTATAGTTTATACAAGCAATAGATTATTCAAATATTAATGAAACAAACCCTCAGTTCACTGAAGTTGGGCGCCATTTTCTAAAACATATCATTCCCTTTTAACAACACCCTTTTTTCTTGTACATTTTCTTAGGCCTCTAGTCCTAGCATTTTTTAACGATATTTTAAATGGTTTGCAATTAATTTTCTCCCGCTCTTTCGCTCTGTGTTTATTGTTATCACTCAAAAAGCTATGTAACTTATCAATTGAGTCATTCTGGCCAATAAATAAAGAAAAACCGCCCAGCTTCTTGAGGGAGACATGGTGGTCTAGCCTAGAAGAATACCGTTTAATTACCCAATATATATAAAACAATTCATAGCCATTGGGTATTAACGGGGTTTCCCGTTGTTTTGCTAAAGGAAGGAAAAAATGACAAGCATTTAAAAGTAAATCTTGCGTTTGTTGAAATAGAAGAAATATAATTAACAAGATTTTATGATAAAAAAATGAGCGGCTGGGAAAAGAATTAATGATTTAAATTAAGGGACTTGTATGGATAATTAAATGATAGCTGTTAATTTTGCTCACAAAGCACAATAAACATTTTTATATCGTTATGGTGCCTAAAATTGGAAATCATTAATTAGAACTGATTATCTTATCAATATCGGTAGCTCAGAGATACAAATATCTGTTTAAAAAAAATAAATTTATTTATAAAATCTACGCCTTATATAGGGTCTTGAAAAAAATGATTTTAAAAATCTACGCCTTATATAGGGTCTTGAAAAAAATTATTTATAAAATCTACGCCTTATATAGGGTCTTGAAAAAAATTATTTATAAAAACTACGCCTTATATAGGGTCTTGAAAAAAATTATTTATAAAATCTACGCCTTATATAGGGTCTTGAAAAAAATTATTTATAAAATCTACGCCTTATATAGGGTCTTGAAAAAAATTATTTATAAAATCTACGCCTTATATAGGGTCTTGAAAAAAAAATTATTTATAAAATCTACGCCTTATATAGGGTCTTGAAAAAAATTATTTATAAAATCTACGCCTTATATAGGGTCTTGAAAAAAAAATTATTTATAAAATCTACGCCTTATATAGGGTCTTGAAAAAAAAATTATTTATAAAATCTACGCCTTATATAGGGTCTTGAAAAAAATTATTTATAAAATCTACCCCTTATATAGGGTCTTGAAAAAAATTATTTATAAAATCTACGCCTTATATAGGGTCTTGAAAAAATTATTTATAAAATCTAAGCCTTATATAGGGTCTTGAAAAAAAAATTATTTATAAAATCTACGCCTTATATAGGGTCTTGAAAAAAATTATTTATAAAATCTACGCCTTATATAGGGTCTTGAAAAAAAATTATTTATGAAATCTACGCCTTATATAGGGTCTTGAAAAAAATTATTTATAAAATCTACGCCTTATATAGGGTCTTGAAAAAAATTATTTATAAAATCTACGCCTTATATAGGGTCTTGAAAAAAAATATTTATAAAATCTACGCCTTATATAGGGTCTTGAAAAAAAATATTTAAAAAATCTACGGTTTGTATAGACGTTCTTGGAAAAATTATTTAAAAAATCTACGCAGTGTATAGAGGTTGTTTAAAAAAATATTTTAAAAATCTACGCCTTGTATAGAGGTTCTTGAGAAAATTATAAAAAAATCTACGCCTTGTATAGAGGTTGTTGAAAAAATTATTTAAAAAATCTACGCCTGGTATAGGGTCTTGAAAAAATGATTTTAAAAATCTACGCCTTGTATAGAGGTTGTTGAAAAAATTATTTAAAAAATCTACGCCTTGTATAGAGGTTGTTGAAAAAATTATTTAAAAAATCTACACCTTATATAGGGTCTTGAAAAATTTGTTTAAAAAATCTACGCCTTGCATAGAGGTTAATGAAAAAAAATTATTTAAAAAATCTACGCCTTGCATAGAGGTTAATGAAAAAAATTATTTAAAAAATCTACGCCTTGCATAGAGGTTAATGAAAAAATTATGTAAAAAATATACGCCTTGTATAGAGGTTGTTGAAAAAATGATGTAAAAAATCGACACCTTATATAGAGGTTGTTGAAAAAATTATTTAAAAATCTACGCCTTGTATAGAACCTGAAAAAAATATTTAAAAAATCTACGCCTTGTATAGACCTGGTAGTCCTGAAAAAAAATAATTTAAAAAATCTACGCCTTGTATAGAGGTTGTTGAAAAAATTATTTAAAAAATCTACGCCTTGTATAGAGGTTGTTGAAAAAATTATTTAAAAAATCTACGCCTTGTATAGAGGTTCTTTAAAAAATTATTCAAAAAATCTACGCCTTGTATAGAGGTTCTTGAAAAAAAAATGATTTTAAAAAATCTACGCCTTGTATAGAGGTTGTTGAAAAAATTATTTAAAAAATCTACGCCTTGTATAGAGGTTGTTGAAAAAATTATTTAAAAAATCTACGCCTTGTATAGAGGTTGTTGAAAAAAATAATTTAAAAAATCTACGCCTTGTATAGTCCTGAAAAAAAATTTAAACATCTACGCCTTATGTAGTCCTGAAAAAAATATTTTAAAAATCTACGCCTTGTATAGTCTCTTGAAAAAATATTTTAAAAATCTACGCCTTGTATAGGGTCTTGAAAAAATGATTTAAAAAATCTAGGCCTTGAAAACAATATTAAAAAAATACGCTTTGAAAAAATATTATTATCAACATTTTCAATCTCCCTCCCTTAAAAATAAATCTCAATGTCCGATTTAAACGTTTAACAAAATACTTCCCTTTCCCAAAACATTTTTCCAAAATCCTTGGATTAAACGAAGTGGTTAAGTATTTGCAAAATATATATTTACACAGGCCAACAAGGATTTATCGCCCAAAAATTTTCTCAGGAACAATGATGAGGATGATTGACATGGGACGTCTATCAACAGAAATGTACAATTGCAGGCAATTGCCATTAATCCGTTTTAAGCCTAAAGATTAAATTGTAAAAAGGTTGCAGCGGCAGCAGCAGGTTTCCCATAGTTTGATGAAGTCAAATTGGTGGAAAGAAGAGGGGGTGGGATAGTTTATGTCTAAAAATTACTATTTTAAATAAAATCTGAAAGAAATTGCTTAGTTTTCTATGGCATCCTTTTTTATGTTGATGCCTTGAAATTAATCAAATCAATGAGGCATTTAAATAAGGACATGCTGAATTCCTCTTTTCCTTACGGCTATTAAAGTGTGTGACTTTAGACAGGGAAACAAATTACCGAGTCCAGAAAAAACTACCCCTGTTAGATTTTTTGTTTTTGTTGTTGTTTACCCATACTTAACTCCTTTCTCCTTTGCTGCCTTGTTTATTTTTTTCATTCAGTCCCAGACAACAACAACTATTTATTGTTTACTTCCTTTGGGCCATGGCTTTTCTAGTTCTTGTAAAGAACTTTAGCAAACATTGCAGTCTATTTAAACTATAAATGGCTTTTAGCATCTCAATTCTATTCTACCCCTCCTCCCTTGATCTCTCACGAAGTTAAATTATCCATGCCTACTGGTTGCAGACATTTATAACACGTGTTTCGAAGCAACAACAAAAACGCTTAGAACTATTCAATAATTCTCTCTCACTTCGTTCGTACTTACTTTTACATTCATTGGCATCACGTGCCGTGGCACGACCCCAGGGACGATCATAATAGAATGGTTTACAGCGTTCACAATCACGACCCTCCGTGTTGTGTTTACATTCGCAGGCCAGTTGGCCCTTCGGATTGGTCGAACACTTAGAGGCATGACCATTACATTTACAGCGTCCACCAACGGCAAAATCGGAAACGGCATAATGCAAACCGGATGAGGCGGCCAATGCCGATGATGAGCCACCAATTATCGAATTTGTTTGATCCAAACTGCTTATGATCAATGAGCTGGGTTCACTATATTTTCCTGACTTGGCATCGGATGAAGATTTCTCAACAGGATTATTCAGCGTGATCAGACCATTACCACCAACTTCAGGCATTTGCAAACGATGAAAGATAACTTTAATATCCGTGGCGGTAACCCAATCCTGCAGTACCGGTGATGAGTCCAAATCTCTGGCCGATGGGCGACCATCTAAAGTGCTAAAGGCAATACGCGAACCTTGTATGCCGTTCAAGGCATCACTGGTGTGGCGATGGGAATCGGTGCATCTAGCTTCTTGTTCATTATGTTTGTTGATGGTAGCCCTATTTGCTCGACCATAAACCCTCCGACACTGGGAACTATAAAACTGAAAGGGTTGCCACGTCTCACCATAATCTGAACTTTTATAAATGGCAATCGAATCGGGTTTGGGTGCCTTTGGACAAAACTGCAAACTAACATAGGTCAATTCATATTTCTTGCCAAGTGACAAAGTCAGCGTAACATTGTCGGGCGGTGCATTTGGATTATTCACTGGGGCAATGGGCTCGGAACGCCAGCAGGTTACATTATTGGGATTATTCAAATCAGTCAAAGCGGCCGATGAAAATCTTCTCTGTGGATTCGAATTATCACATATATTACACGTCGTCGTATCCCCACCATTTCCATTTGTTTCACAATAACGCTGTGGATTTTCCATACCACAAGTACTGGAAGCCTCCACGGGTGCACCATATGCAGCATTTACAAAATCCGGTATACATTTGCGTGCCTTATCCTCGTCATAGCAAGGATCGGAGGGCGCATGTGAGGAGAACATTTTCAAATAAATATCATTTGGTAGGGCTGCAGATTGTTGCAGGGAATATATAAGCCAAAGGCTTATACAAAGGAGGCTTAAAAGTCTATTCATTTTGTTTGGTAAATCGTTGGAAGCTTTCAACAGGAAATTGAGATTTTGTTGTTGTTGGTTTGAAATTTTTTTTCGTTAAGTATACTTATTTGAGATTCTTATTGTTTAATTTTGAGATTCTTGTTTATATTCATTGATGAGTTTTTTTGTTCCACTTATTTATTATTCGTTATTTGCCACTTTTCACGTTATTATATTTTATTTTAGTTCACTTTTTTGTCATTATTTAATATCTTATATCTGCAATTGAAATTTTTGGATTATTTATTTATTTTCACAATAAAATTTTTATTTTTTGTTCTATCAAATTTTAACATTAAAAACTCAGAATCAATGTTTGAACTAAAGTTGTAAAATTGTGAGGGAAAATTGTGGCACTAGCCGGTAGCTGTCTTAAGATCCGACGTCTTTTAAAATCATGGGCTAAAATAGGGGGATACAATGTTAATATGTGACGGGCTAAAAATTTACTCCTTTTCACTGATTGTTTTTCAATAAAATTTTTTGCACTTCTATGTCAGTTAAAAATGCCATTGTGATCGCATATGAATCACCGTTTGGTATCGTCCCCATGGTATGGTCACCATACTCAAGGCAATTTAAGAATTCCTTTTTAGGGCATAACTAAGAATATTTCTGATAACTATTACATTTTTCGTCAGGGTAAACTGTATAAAATATTTCGGAGGAGACTTTTGTAAATATGATTCCTCATATCCTGATCGTGAATATAAGCTAATTTTTCTCTAGGATTAATTGCAATGATTTTTAAGATGATGATGTCATTCCGCTTGAAAAGAATCTAAATAAATATAAATCGCCAGAGGCCACGTATCGGAATAAAATAATATTTCAATTCCAACTCCATCTGTCTGTCCGATTGTCTATCGAAACCACAATAGGGATCGCAAATATATTTGTACATACATTTTGTCTACTCCTAGGATTAATAATGGAATATATTGGTTCCAGTTTTTAGGCACTTCCCAAAGTTCTCTAATTCGGGGAGCTTGGGAACCTTTAGGTAAACCCGTCATATAAAGATTCAGCCCCTCATATAGGTATTTTTATGGCCATATGAACATTTTCCAATTAGATTTATTATATGTTAGTAGTAAGTAGTGCCGGTAATTTGACATTATGGGAACATAAGATATTTATACCCTACACAACTATGTTGTCAGGGTATTATAGCTTTGTGCAGCCCCAAAAGTTTGTAACGCCGCGAAATATTGGTCTAGACCCACCTTTAAGTATACCGATCATATCTCGACTAGCTGAGTCGATCTAGACATGTGTGTCGGTCCGTCCGTCCGTCTATTATAATTTGTAAACACGATACAGGCCACAGTTATGGACCAATCTTCACGAAATTTTGCATGTTGGATTGGTTCTGGCCAATGAAGACCCCTATTGTTTTTGGGAAAGATCGGTTAATATTTAGGGGATGAAATGGACCAAATACTAATTTTTTGTCGGTTTTCCTGGTCGCTCCAGAGACCGCAATAATAGCCCGAACATCGTGAAATTTTGCATGGAGAAGGGGATCGGGCCAAAGAATAAGCATGCCTGTTTTGATAAAGATCGGTCAATATTTAGCAGGTCAAATGGACCCTGACTTTTATGTGAAAAATGACAAAATTTGTATTCTATGGTGTATATATTTACGCCTGAAGGACATAAACCCGAGAAGTTGATACTATATCCAAGAGGTGTGGTTGACCTTTAAATTAATACCAATTATATTGTTGTATTTGCCCAGATGTGGGAGTTTCACCTAAATATTTACAGGTATCTACGTATTCGTATATTATTTAGTAACCCATTATCACTCTAGAGAGAGGAACTATAGCGCTGATCGCTTTGAAATGTTCCATGAGGTTCCAGTTATGGTCAATTTTCGGTGATGATCAGATAATAATTTTGGAATGACAAATAATCTATAAACAACAAATGAAAGCCGAACATCACAACACAACTCACGGTGAAGGGAATCTGGACAGTAGCTGTACTGAATACTCGTAATATTCGGAAAATATGTCAGTGTGAGGAAGAGGTGCTGTTTACCTCTAATCGGGCAAGAGGGTAAAAATATCACTAAATATTGCCCAGGCTCGGAATAAACATCCGCAGAAAATTTGAGTTACGTGGTAGTTGTGTAGGGTATCGTATGGTCGGCCCCGTCCGACTATACTGCTCTACTCACTGGCTTTAATATAAAATCATATTTGCACATAGCCTCACACATTTATATTAAATAAATAATAAATTCTATATCGATTTACGCATGTCCGTCTGTTGAAATCACAATATTTAAGATAGAGCTCTGAAATTTTGTAGACATTGCTCTAGTACTCCTAGGATGTTTGATATTGCACATGGCATATAGCGGTCCACGGTCCAATATTCGGTATTTTTGGGACTTTGAGCTCGTTTTCAACATAATTGACTGTAATTTGTCACTTTGGGTTAAAATTTTATAACACAAAAATCTTTGAAGATAATAGGTACCATTTTCAACAAAAATTATTAATATTTTTGATCCAAGTTGGGTTGTGAAATGCAGTAACCCCCTGTATATGAATTTGTCACTTTGGGTTAAAATTTTATAACACATCCCCAAAAATTATTAATATTGATCTTTCAGGATAATTTGGGTATTTTTGACACGTTTTCCAACCGAACTGATTGTAATTTGGTATTTTGGGTTATCATTGAATAACTTAATAATAATTATTATAACATATTAATAATTATCATATAGAACATCTCCTATAACAAATATCTTATTTGGACTCGATCAGGAAAATGATCTGTATGAGAAAACATAATTTTGGGGATTCCGATATTTTTATATTCGCCGTTTTTTGTGTAATTTTTCCAGTTGGGACTTAGAACAACTATTACGAAGACAGATTTGTCCTGATATTGGAATCTAATCCAATGATCGACGGTTTACTTATTTATAATAATTAAAAATTTTCAGTAAATAGGATCTTCCTTGAAAATTCGACAACTGAAATGACTAGAGCCACAATTCACATTCATAACTCGATGTAGTTTTATTTTTCGATTCTGTGTTTTTAATGTTAGAAACAATATAATTATTTTTTTTAGTTTCACTTTTCAAAATTTATTGCTTTATTAGTTTATTTGAACTGTTTTGAAAATCTTCCTTTTATATTTTCACTGTCACTATTGAACGTTTCAAATCTTTCAAGTTAATTTGTCAACAAGATCACTTAATTTGTTATTTTTTCAAATAATTTTTTAATTAGTTTTTTTCATTATTTAAAAAAAAATGATGTAAATATATTATTAATAATTTTCTAATTTTTCATAACATTTACAAAACTTTGTTTTATATTTTTTTAGTTCAAAATCTTTATAAAATTTGATTTTTTATTTTTTAGTCACTTATTTTGTTTGGTCATTAATATTTATATAAATTTATTCATTGTTGATTTTCGATATTTCATAAAAAAATTAAAATTAAAAAAAAAACTGTAGCATTTTTTCATTGATATCGATTTATTTCCTTCCAATTTTTTTATTATTTTATTACAATTTTTTATTACAAATTATCACCTTTAATTTTTATTGTTTCAATTCCAATTTTTTATTATATCCATAAAATGTCGAATTCGTTTTAAATTTCGTATATCCAATATTTTTTAGATTTCAATTAATTATTTTTTACATAAAAAATAAACATTTCTTAAATCCAATTGATAATAATTTCGTTTTTCATTTATTTTATTCACATTCGTTGCGTAAATCCGGCGCGCAATTATTTGTTTCTGCAAATACGCGAATCCCGTAAACAAACCGTTTTAACCGCTATTCATTGGGATGCGCGTAAATCGTACGCGCTAAAATTATACTCTCGTTGAACCGTCTGTTACACTTTTGGATTCTTTAGGTAATCAAAAGGTTGATTTTCTGTTCGTCGTTAATCGCTCTAATTGCATCCGACGTATGCAAACGTCAAGTTCAGCTGCCTGTTCACAGTCAACTAAAAACACACATCGAATATCTTGGCCGCGGCGCTATGGTAGCACAAACAAGATGCGAGATGCGATGAAACAGGCGCGCACACGTTTGAATGTTTGAATTTTGTGTTGTTCAGAGATTCAGGCAACCGACCATGGCAATAAGAACAGAGCGAAACAATCAACCAGACACACACACGAATGATGATAGCAACCAACGATGTTGATGATGACGATGAGGGCTACGAACAACAACAGCAGCACAACACTTATCTCCACAAGGTATATTAACAAACAACAATGTTCGTTCGTGTATGCGAATGGTACACACATCGGGAATATTTTGTCTGTTGGTTGGTCAAAATGTGTGAGAGAACAACAAACATATGCTAATGCAAAAGGTCCATTACAGGAAAACACCCAAAGGGAGGCTGGATGGCTGGCATCTGATGTGCCTAATACAGTTGCGGCGTTTTTCTGGCGCATTCACGCAACAATGCACAATAGAATTTCTGATTTCATGGGGTTTCCTTCCCTCATGAAATAGCGGCATCAAACATAACACAACATTACTTCATACCAAATTGGTATGAAGCACACATGTTGCTTTGTTTTCATGCCATTCACTGAGAGGGTGGGTGAACATAACAAAACTACCTGATGCTAAATCTCGAATGTTATGTTATCCAACACACACACAACACCACACAAGGTGCGTGGCTTTGCTAAACGTACTGTTAATCAACATCCGCTGCTCTCATTTCTGTTAAAGATAATGCGTCTATCTCTTCCTTTCATACATTCTCTTAAGTTCATAAAATTCACCTCATACAAATGAGAGATGCGCAGTATTATTTATTGAATAATTTGATGGTTGTTGCCGCTCTTTGCTAGGGAAATTCCAATTTCCCTCATTTGGACAGGTGTTTGAGGCCACTGGTTCACTCGTTGCGTTTTATGGCTGGCTTTGCATTTGATTTTTCACTCCCCTAAACGGCACACGCTAAT